ATTATACCTGAGTATCAGATGCGTGAGTGTCTGTTTTAATAAGTGCAGATGTGAATATGAGAAAAACTAAGGTAGAATGAGGCTCACCATATTATTTCTTATTGCACGAGCCAGAGCTTGTCCTCCAGCAGCATTGATATCGTTGCAAGCAAGATCGAGTGTGGTAAGTGTCTGTGGTAAAAACAAAAGGTAGACTGCTATATGGGCGAGATAGAAAAAAAAAGAATGAGAATTACCGTGTTCTTCTCTAGTGCATCAGCAAAGTATTCAGCTCCTTTGTCTGAAATATAGTTGCCTGCAAACATAAGTGTAGTGAGTGTCTGTAAAGCAAATTGTAGATGTGGATATGATGCCAATTAATAATTAATGAGGCTCACCATGTTATTCCGTAATCCATCAGCCAGATACCATGCACCAAGAAGCCCAAATGAATTATATGAGAGATTTAGTGTGATCAGTGCCTGTGTGAATAAATGTATGTGAGGATATGAAACAGAATAAGAGAGAATAATGCTCACCGTGTTATTCCGTAATGCATCAGTCATATGTTTTACCGCATGACCATGGATTCTGTGCTGCTCAGAGAACTTGAATGTAGTGAGTGTCTATATCAAGAAACGAAAATGAGTATATAAAAAAGCTAAAGAGGGAGTCAGAATCACTTTGTTATATTTTAATGCATCAACCAGATATTCTAATCCTTCTTCAAGAATTTCACATTTGTAGATATCCACTTCGGTGAGTACCTGTATGAAATAAAGATAGATTAGTATGTGAAAGAGATACACGGAGAATTATGATCACCGTATTATATTGTAATGCATCAGCCAGATATTTAGCTCCTATGTCTTTTATTCGAGTGCATTGAAGCTTGAGGGTAGTAAAATTCTGTATGTAAATGCCTAGATGGTGATATGATATTGATTAAGAAGCAATGATGCTCACCGTATTATTTCGTAATTCTTTAGTCAGATTTTGTATTTCGTCGAGTGAAATAAGCAAAAAATAATGAAGATTGAGTTCAGTAAGTGTCTATACGAAAAAATATAATTGATGCTATCGTAAAATGAAATGAATCATAAAGAAAAGAAAGTCTAATTTGTTCATTCCTACTAATACGGAAATGAAGACTGGTAGTGAAGACAAACGACAGATAATTGATAGAGAGTGTAGAACTTTGTACTGCGAAAAGTTACTGTTGTTCAAAATTTAATATTTTGGGATTCATGAAAAAAGCCTTTTTTTTTGCTTTTTTATATGTGGAATCAATTCGGAAGGCTTCCGTGTGATGATGCTGGCACACGAGAGAGTAAAATCGAATCGAGTAACCAGAAATTCATATTTATGAACAGAATTAAATTCTGTATTTTGTAAAAGAAAAATAAAGTTTTGTGTATGCATGTCTATGAGTATTTTTGCAATGAAAAGTGCTCATTACACAATTTGAACACGAAAAAAAGATCGACATCTTCTAGTTTTCATTCCTGAGAAAAATATGATTATTAAGAATGTATGAATAGTTCAAATAGTGAAAAGTAGTTAGAACGAAAAAGAGGAAAAATAAATGAGCAAAATAGTGTTTTCGAACAAAACGATTTTCCAATTCTACATAAATGTAGAAGAAATTTTCGAAAGTATTCGTATCAATGTTCATATACGATAATTTTTTTTTAAAGTTGTATCGAGTGTCTTTGATTTCATTGATTGAAATGGAATCAAAGTTAAATTGGTCATAATAAAAAGTAGGTTGAGTAAAATGAAGATGTTTATATTCGATTTTTTTTTCTAAATTACAAATGTATTGAAAAAGAATGACGACATTATGATACAGTTTGACAAGTAGAATTCAGATATGGATCTATTTTTTATGAAAGAGAAAAAGTAATGAATAAGATCCAAACAAATGTTTCCTTGTACAACATCGAACATCAACGAAGAATAAGAATATGAATGAAACCTATGCGTAAATATGTTCTAAGCACTGACTAGCTTGGCGTAGTACTTTTTCATTTCAAATTCAATGCTAATATGTAGATGCATGTATTCTTTCAGAAGAGAACTCGAAGGATAATCTTATGATTTTTTTATAACAGTGTAAGTAATAATTGAAAAAATTACTAATTATTGTTTTATGTAATCGAATGAGTCAAATCGAATCTGTTAAAGATGTTTGCCCTCTTGAGTTCTCTATTATATGCTTAAGTTGTTAATAT